TTTTCAAACAGTTCCATGGGAGCACAAGTGAGTTATTAACACAAGTCAACACAGTTTTCAAACCGGCTGCCATTTAACCTCGGTAGCAAAATAAACACCGAGAAGATGAACAATGGACCATCGATTCGGATCATCGGCTCTGACGATGATGAAGACCTCGAAACGTTAGCCGAATAAACTTATTTATCAAACTCAGGTAAGCTCAATAGTTCAAATAAAGGTCAACACAAGTCCAACATCTTGAGCTACTAATTTTTAACAGAAGTCCTCAAACACATACTTAGTATTGGCCTGTGCATCAATCGGTGGATGTCATTGGGAAACCATGAAAATGACCATAATATAGTAATCATAAAAGATTATGACGCGTTTCGAAAGTTGTGTAGAAATCGTCAATGATAAATTTCACCTCTCACAAAGAAGAATGAACAAATTGATTGCTATCAAATTTTGCCACGCTTAAACAATATCTCTGGGCCGTGTGTAGCACAGTGGTCGGAGGCGCCCTGCAGTACACATGGGATTAACTCCGCGCCCTTGACCCGCCAAGCCTTCCAACCCTGCGGGGTCGGAAAATTTCTACCAGACTTGTTTGGAGGGATAGCAGCACTGGCTCGATACATCGGTAGGTCACCGCGAGTCATTTGCAAAGGCCAGATATACACTCAATCTTCTCCAAACGATGCTTAATGAAATCGATGAAATGCATGACGCATACTTCACGGATCGATCAACACTGAAAGCTTTATCCTATTTCTCCCCCTAGCTTTATCCCTTATCCTTTTTCAAGCAATATGTGAAGCAAATAATGAGTGAAGTCAATATTCCAATTCTGTTCAGTACTTCGTTTCAGGATTTGCACAAGCGGGCCACGCAGAACTCATTTTAAGAGATTTCTTCCATCTCTCCTACAATTTTAGGTGTGGAAAAAAACTCCGCCTATTCTCCCAAGCCACTCTACAGTACGATGGATCTTCCCTCAATTACTTTTCTGGTTCGCATGCAATTTTTAATAGTTAAAAATAAACCACCATCAAGTGTCGATAAGGATTGCCTACCTTCTTTTCCGGTAGTGGAATCAACATTCATATACATCATTAATAAATTCTCAACATTGCTCAAGTCTGTCTTCGTCATTTCTGTTGAGCCGAAGAGGATCAGAAGGACTAAAGATGGAGAAGCACAATGAATTGTGGAAAACCAGAGAAATACCAACACAGGCAAGACAGAACTTCGGAAAACACTTTAAAATTCTGTCTACACAGCACAAGGTCAGAGATTTGGAAGAAGACTGAGACGGGAATACTTCGAAAGCAGTTCTTCAAAGTGGCAGTTCACTTTCATCAAAATCGATTCAAGAGAGAAGATATATGCCTGCAGAGAAGATAAGAAGACTGGAGAAGAATCAGCAATCATTGGTAACCTTGGAGCGAAAAGAGAAACGAAAACAGGAATATTAGAAAGGAAGTTCCTTAAACTACCATTCTCTCTCGTCAAAATCAATTGAAGAAATGTGGTAAACGTCTATAAACCTTTCCTTACGAACGAAGCTGAATGACCTCGGTAGGCATCAGACAATCTTCTAATTGTATGCTATCTACAATACCTTTACTTTAAACAACCTTACGAGGATTAATAGAACTTCGCGTTAAGGACACTTATGAAATTAAAGAGGTCCACACCAGTGAAGAAACGGAAGGGAGTTTTACGATGTGATCCCATGACTTCATGACTTACATATGTCATACGGGAATTGGAATGGGAGTAAAAGTCGATGACCAGCAGCTACATCACCTTTGATTTGCTGATAACACCGTACTTACAAATTCAGGCCGGAAGGAATAGAATAGCTTCCGAAAACTCGTGTATATGGACCGTCCCTGGGCGAAAGCAAATCACGCTTAACGGGATAAATACTTGCAAAGCTGCAACTCTATGCTCAACTCTAGCGCCAAACCAAAGGAAAAAAGCACCCTAGAAGCAAAACAACAAAAGTACCGAAGTTGTAGAAGAGAAAGAACAACAGCTCTGAGTCCTCTGTCCCAATTTTTCAGTTTCATGCGTTTTCCTGCTTGAAGGTTCGACCCAAAGCTGAATGTTAAAAAAGTCCAGTGAAAGAGCGGTTGGCCTAACGAAAGCGCCATCAAGAACAAAGGATAGCGAGGAATTGGAATTTTATGATTGGTAACTACACTACACCAACATTGTTTATGTCGTTTCTATATCATCATTCATTAGCCAGAAAGAATAAGTGAAGGGCGGAATCGGTCTTCGGTTGAACCTCAAGAAAAAAGATAAACAGATCCACATCCATTTCTAACTATGCGTTCAACAGAATGAATGTCTTCTTACACTGCAGACGTGTGTACCTGAGCCAAGAACCCAACAGTGTGAACGACTGAGTCCCGAATGTGAGCAGGTCTAGTAGCTTAGAAATTAGTTTGCAAAAACACCGATGATGTACAGAAAAAGAGTAAAAAAAACACACACACGGGTCAGCATGCGTCTTTGGTGCAAAGATCTTTCCTGCTTTGAACATACAACGTAGGCCTGGATTCATCACGCAACTGAGAGAGGAGAGGAGGGGACGAATGGAAAGAACCCGGAATTTCGACCTACGTCAAACCTCAAGGACAAAAAACATCGAAAATAAAGTAGGACCGACACTACATGGGTCATTATGACAGCTGCTAAACAGAGTCATCTCATGCAAACATCGGCCATATTCTCAAAAACAATTAGTAGAACTGGAAATGTGTTACAGTAAGACGATTCTTACCCTTGGTAAATTGGTGCATATGGGCGCCTCTAGCAGTCAGAGGCGCTCTGCAATACATATGACCAACAGAATCAGTTCGGTAGAACAGTAATCAAGTAGAAAGACAAAAGGGAACTTATTTCAACTTCCAAAAACACAGGGAGCAACTTTTCCGCCCAGTGAAAACCAAAAATCGTTCTAGATGACTCTAAGCTCGAATTTTATAGTAAGCATGAAAAAATCAAGATACACTAGTTCATAACCTACTTCTATTCGATTTAGTTCAAGTTAATAGAGCATATACGGTCCAATAGCATCATTTGGTAGCATTTTATATAACTATTAAAGGTATTTAGCAAAATCTTGCAACTATATAACTGCTAAAAAACGTATTTCACTTGAAGAGTTGGACCGTCCGTCCTCACTGATTGTTCGGGCTCCAACATAATTTCCATTTTTTTTGGAGTTTTCCTGGTTTAGCCGTTGTGTTTCCTCGGAGTTCCGAGGTTAACCTAGCTAAAGTCCGTGCCAGGTCGTCACTACCTTGTGGATCAGAAAGACATATGCCACCATATGTTGTGAGGTTCACAACTTTGTATGAATAACAAGTAGTTCGGAATATTAGTCTTTGTAGTTTCCACGCGAGACTTCTGTGTGTAAATCACTGAGTCGAACGTCTTGAGACACTGGGTTATAACCTTTATGACTGTAGTAACAATAATAACAATACAATAACAGCGAGGCGAAGTACACCAGGCGGATTGGAAGGGCACTGGTTGCACGAGTTGAACGGAATGGACAAACTAGGACGAGCACTAATTAAGTAGTGGACTGGGCTTTGACACAGGGAACTAGGGACAGCGCTTAGAGAGAGGTTCTAAAACTTCCTCAATTAGTATAAACTGATAGCGCAAATTGCACAGAAGGTTCGTGAAGTCCATACAACAGCCTATACAGAAAGTACATGTGAAGGCGCGCAACTGCTCGTACTGAAAGTTCACCTGAAAGGTGATACAAAGGCTTATACAAAAAATTTATATGAAAGCGATGGAATAACTGGTACAAAGGATTTTAAAGAGAGTACGTTTGCAAACGGTATCAAGGCTTAAAAAGGCGCGTGTGGCGCAGTGGTTGGAGGCGCCCTGCAACACATTCATGGGATCGATCCCCCACGCCCGTGGCTCACCAAGCCTTCCAACCCTTCCGGGTCGGCAAATTTTCACCACACTTGTCCGGGAGGATAGCTGTACTGGCTCGATACATCGGTAGGTTACCGCGAGTCATTGTAAAGGCCAGATGTGCACTCAATCACCTCCAACGATGCTTAATGAAATCGAATGCATGGCGCATCTCTCAGGGATTGGTCAACGCTGAAAGCTTTTTAGTTTTTACCAAGGCTTATACAGTATGAATGGATAGATAATATTCAATATTTATGAAGAATGTTCTCTATACCACGCGAATAGTTTGATAACAGATCAGTGGTGGAACCTGGTATTGGTTCACTTTTAGCCGGGCTTCCTGATGGGAATACCGGACTCCTTCTTAGTTTGGGACTGCTGGGAGGAGGAATCCACCGGCGTGCATCGCAACCGCTTCTAGGAACATCTCTCAGCCACGACGAGGTGGTAACCCTTTAGGAAGAAAGCGTAAGAGATAAACGTATCAAGAGGATAAACACCAGTTATATGTAACGCGAAAAGCACTTTTACTCGGATCACTTCAGTGATAAAGGCAAAGAGAAAACTCTGAAAGGCCTGAAATAACATTTTGACAATGGCGTCTACAACACCATTACTAAACTACAACATCAGTAGACGGTTTGGAATACGACATTAACTTGTAATGGCGAAAGAGTCAGTACAAGATGAGTTCTAACAGAGATTTTAGTGAGGATAAATGCGGGTCTAAGTGAACCTGTCCTTTACATTCACTGATGTGAACGCAATGTACCGCAAGTGGACTGGACGAGCTTCCGACTCGTGGACGAGTTGTCCAGGCAAGCGATCGTCGTGTGCTCACATAAGGCCGCCAATCATCGTATTGTTACCGCTTTACGTGATATACCTAGTCCATCACTTCTTCTTTTCCTAACAAGCAATGACATACTACGTGTTCCTGTATTTGTTTAACAGTTTCTTTTACTAGTTCTGCTCTACTTGTCTAGTCCATTAGCTGTTTTTCTTTTCAGGCTGGGGATGTCTGAATGATCCGGCTCGTATTAAACTGCTAAGGGAAAAGAATGAGCACAGAGTTAATAAAACGGGCGAATCCCGCCGATGACTATGAGCTTTTGCAACGTGTTGGTTCCGGTACCTATGGTGAGGTCTACAAAGCGCGGCACATAAGGTATGGATTCCACAGTTCTTTTTCTCAAGTGTCTACAATCTTGTATTTATTGGGCGATTTCGGATAGCGCCTATAAAACATGGCTGGAAGAAAAACGGAACGAACGACCCGAATAATGTGCTGATGAACACGCTAGCCCCCGGAAAGGGTAATAACGAGGTTCCATCCCCTCCGCACACACCTACTGTCCGAAGTTTTGCAAGTAACTCAGCATCAACCTTGCTATGAAGAAGAGTAGGCAATAGTTTAAAAGTGATTACATTGAAGTCTTATATTTCATGGGTTTCAGGAGTGGTGATTTGGCTGCTGTTAAAGTTGTAAAGCTTGAGGCTGGTGATAATTTCGCCGTAATCCAGCAGGAGATTCTGATGATTCGCGAATGCTCCCATGCTAACATCATCGCATACCACGGCAGTTACTTACGTCGGGATCGGTTATGGATTGTGATGGAGTATTGTGGAGGAGGTTCTTTACAGGATATTTATCATAGTATGTTTACGCTTCTCACGTACTTAGGTTTTTTTTGCTTTCATATGACCATGTGTCTATTCCCTCACTTTCTCCAACGGTTTACCGCCTCATTGTACAGTGGGCGGATTCATTCCCTTAGCAGGGTCTCTTAAACTGGGAAGGAGCCGGGTTTTTCCATCAGGAAGCTTAACTAAGAGTTAACCAATACCTGGATTCACCACCGTCCTGGCACCAAACTACTCGCGTGGTGCCAAACCTTCCTCCGATCCACAAGGGCTACGACTGCCTGCGGTGGAGACGACCTGGGGCAGACTTTGGCCTGCCTGATCTCGGGGCTCCGGGGAACCGCAGTAGCTCAACCAGGAAAACTCCGATAAAATAGAAGTTTTGCTTGGGCCAACACAACTGGCGAAGAAGGGCCATACATACTAGTAAGTATGTCTGTATCTCAATGATAACCTCTTTATTTACTGGCCACTCTAAGTTCTGACAGCAGAGTATTATGTGGAATACAGCCATAATGTTCCTAAGATATTTGCAAAACTTCTACCCCATGCCAGGTCGAACCCGGATCACCCTTTCCTGGGACTCGCGTGTTAAATGGTGCACCACTGTGGCCCTTGCCATTGTGGTTATGTGGGTATCTGTTTGGATAACTGGGCAACACGATTTAATTATTTTTATGATTTATAGTAATATGAATCATGACGTAGTTGTGAATTGAGTGTGCAGTTAAGTTTTGTTCGTTGGTTACTGTTTTATAGAGGCAGTTGGTACGACAAAGGAGTAAAATCCTCTATCCGATTTGTGGCTTATTTTGGTTTAACATCTAATTTGACAGATTTTTTTTCATTTTGGTTCTTTTTCCTGATTTTTATACGAGGTTAAAAAGGTCTCACTCGGCTTAATCAACATTGACGTCGAACAATTGAGCTGCTTTCATATTATTCTTCAATGAGGGATGATTTTTCTTAGGTGAATATGCAGATGGTGTAGTAATGAAAACACATACGTGGAACCTATAAATTTTTAGAACGGACCCTGAATCAAAATTTGTTAAAGAGACGAATCGCATTGTTTAATGACGAATTTATTTTGTCTCAATAGTCGTCAACGTATACAACATATTATAACATATAAATAAACCAGGGAGCGTGTAACGCAATGACCGAAGGCGCTCTGCAGTAAAAATGGGATCGATCCCCGCAACCGTGGCCCGCAAAGGCTTCCATCCCTCCGGGTTCTGCAAATTAGTGCCATACTTGTCTGGGAGGATAGCATCACTGGCTTGATACATCGGTAAACCACCGCAAATCATTGTAAAGATCAGGTACGCATTCATTCACATCCAACGATGCCTAGTGAAGTTGAATGCATGACTCATCCTTCAGGGATAGATCAATGCTGAGAGCTTTATCTTTTATCCTTTTCACTGAATAAATTTATGTTTTCATAACAACGCAGGAATGACTGACTAACATTTAACATGGCCAAATCCGTTTCCCATAACGCAGTGAAAAGTTTGGAGTGCGTTTTTAATGATGAATACGTGTATATATTTATTTCGCCAAGTACCTTTTTAACGTTTTTCTTCCATTTATGCATATACGTTCAACCACTTGTTCGTGAGCACTTTTTGATGGCGTTTCACCCTCCTCTTCCGAGTCCTTTGCCTCCTTTTCCACTATCAAACATTGCGATAGCACAACACACGAATGGAGAATATAGCAACCAATACCAGGTTCCACCACCATCCTGGTATCAAAGTCGCATAGTGGCAAATCTCCCTCTGATCCACAAGAGCTGCGACTCCCTGTTGTGGTGAAGAACTGAGGCACACTTTGCCCAGGCTGACCTCAGGGTTCCAGCGAACCACAATGGCTTAACCAATGACAGGCCATTCAAGTATCAAGTGTTCTACCAGTTGTTCCATATGAAGTTTAAAGAAAATCTTTATGTTTTTAGTGACTGGACCACTTTCCGAACTGCAGATTGCGTTCGTTTGTCGAGAAACACTCAAAGGTCTTGACTACCTTCATAAGATGGGAAAGGTAAGGCCTGAACGTCGAAAATTCCTTCGTAGCTGTTCTTCATAGTCTCTATTCTTTCCACTGAACTTCAGGTTCATCGCGATATCAAAGGAGCGAATATCCTTCTCACTCATGCTGGAGATGTAAAACTGGGCTCGTTTTGCTTTTATTACTTAGGCCCGAGTTTCCCTTTCATGTTTCAAACATAAGTGTCAATGTTTTAGCAGACTTTGGAGTTGCTGCTCAAATAACTGCAACGATAGGAAAGCGGAAATCATTCATAGGAACGCCGTACTGGCACGTTGCTCTCAATTTTCAACTTTTTTTGTGAGACAAAGTGGTTTTCTATGTTTTTACTGGTAATTTCATTGCTGTAGGATGGCCCCTGAAGTTGCTTGTGTGGAGCGTCGTGGTGGCTATGGAGTTCAGTGCGACGTTTGGGCTGTTGGCATTACTGCTATAGAGTTAGCTGAATGCCAGCCACCATCATTTGACCTTCATCCAATGCAGGTCCACTATTTAGTCAAATTCATTCATTTTTTGTAAGGGCATAATATCTGTTCCTCGTCTTTCTTGAACTTCGTAAAATTTATAGGTCTTATATTTGATGACCAGAAGCAGTTACAAACCTCCACACCTTAAGGAGAAACACCGCTGGTTAGTCCCTTGGCTGATTTTTCGCCTATTTTAAACTTTTTGAGTCGAGTTTTTTGCTGGAATATTTGCTTATATGGGCATTGTGTGGTTGCAGTAATCACAATTGTTGGTATGCTGGCTTCAACTGAGCTGTTGGCTAGAGTTAGACCCCGTGAAGTTTTCTGGTGCAACGCAGATTTTCGTCGTTACATTGTTAATAAGACAGTATTTCTGACAAAGTTAAGGTAGCACCTAACATCGTGCTTGTTGTAGCAAATATTACAGCGGTTATTACGATGAATTTTGTTTAAGTGAGAACTGTTTTGGAAAGCTTTGCTGCCTTTGTTGTGCTGTTTTAACAGTTGTGGAGAACGAGAACTTGCAAAGGAAGTAGCTGTAATGAGTAAACTTTATACTCAGTGGGGTTATCTCGTTGCAAGTCAGCTATCGCTAACGGTTTAATCAGCTTAAGCTATCACAAATAAGCAAGCTGGTTCTTTCCAGGTCGCCCCTTTTTCACGACTTTGTTCGACAGTGTCTCACGAAAAACCCGAAAAAACGACCTACTCCCGATAAATTGTTATCGGTGAGTGGATATTAGTAACGTAGAGCACAAAAACTGTTGCTAGAACAATTCGAAACAGGAGTTTTGAATTAAGCTCAGCGCTTAACTTGTACTATCCTACGAACTCGCTTTTCTTGAAACTGATATGAAGTTGTTCAGATGTATTTTAATGTTCGATGGCTAGTGTTTCAATGTGTCTGTTTCAGTGTTAACCTTTTTCCGAGCCTGGAAATATTGTTATATGGGTGTTTTTTATTATTTGTTGAGTACTGGACGGTTTTTTTTCCAGTAATATGTGAACTACAGGAAGCTTCAGTCTGGAGAAAGAAAGCGGTGAAGCCTTTCTAATAGTCAAATATTTGGTTTTGCTAATTAGTGAGGTTTTCATTTCCGTTGAGTTTCCCCCGAACAATAAAATACACATACAATACATATGGGATCGATCCTCGCTCTCCAGGTTCACCAAGGACTCCATCCATCCTGGGTCAGGTTGGTACCAGATTTGTCTAGGAGGATAGCAGCACTGGTTCGATACATCGGTAGGCCACTACGAGTCATTGTAAAGGCCAGATACGCATTCATTGGCCTCTAACGATGATCAGTGAAACAGCATGCATGGCGCGTTCCTCAGCGATCGATCAACGCCGGGAGGTTTATCCTTGTTTTTATAACAATACGTCTAGTCTCTGAAGAAAGCGAGTTCGGCGGATCATTATCCAGCGAACATCAAAATGCGTGTTAACTACCTCGTTTCTGCTCAGATAAGAGACTTTGTAGGGTAATGTTGTTGGAACACATTCTCTCCCTTTCTCTTCCCAATTCTTTGCAAGTAGTATTCATGGCCATCGATTCTATGCGAAGTTTATGTGTTTATTAGACGTGTCACATGGCTACGCGTAAAGTTTTTAGTGATTTATTTGCTATTAAACAATTCCTTCTGGAGTTACCGAGCGTTTTCGTCATGGTTGTAGCCGATATGGTTGGTTTTACAGAACATGCATCCAGTTGTCTTGTAGAATTCGATATATCTACATATATGTCCTTACGGACTGCCCTCGTTTAGCTGAACAAAGCAAAGGTCTAGCTGGAACTAGGACATATATGGAGATATATTTTGTCACTTTTTTCTAATTGTGTGGTGGTGAACGCGTTAGTCTCCACAGAGGGTAATAGCGTGTTCGGTTCCCATCGCAAAGATCAGTGGTCCGGAGTTTTACAAATATCTCAGCATCATGGTTATATAGTCGAATCGATTATTATGCCGAGGTTTATAGAAAATCGATCTTCTTTGTTTTGCAGAAAGTTTTTGTGCGGATTTTATTGGAAGAATTTCCAAACAAATTTACAATTAGCATGTTTCATAGGTTTTATTTTTAACTATGCTTTTCATATATTTGTTTAAGATATACTAGATGTAAGGGGGCACAGATTTTGGAATTTCTGGTCCATTCATTTCGCTAATCATCCTATCTTACTATTATTGTTTCAGGCGCATCACTTCGTTCTGGGCGCACTTAGTTCAAGAATGACGAGAGACTTGCTCGACAAGGTTCTTTTTTGTTTTAATTTTTTCACAGTCCAACCAACTTTTAGGAACCAAATATGGTTTTTTGACAACTGCCGATAGTTTTTCGATGAATAGGCTTGATAAGTGGAAAATACATTCATTGAAGTGACTTCTCTTTATCTAAATAAATGAGTATAAATTTGCAAGTCGTGTTTTGCTGGGCGAAATCCTGTTGCTTCTTTGCATTCGTGTTAGAACTAAGATTCTTGACAGGGAAAGCGACAAAATTATGGTTTTTAATCTCCATGAAATCAGAATTTCATCGTAGGAGAATAAGAAAACATGCGTCTTATTGACAGTGGTCTCTATTTTTTCGATTGATTTTTATTTCAATGCAGTTGCTTATGAGCTGAGAAGTGTTGTTTCAAAGTTGAGTGCGGACATTATTTTTGCTCCGTATGAGTGGAAAAATTGCTTGTATAGGGCAGTGGCTGCCCTGCAATGCATATGAGTTCGTTCTTGCGTCCTATGTTCACCAAGCCATCCATACCTCCGGTGTAGGCAAAATTCTTACCAGACATGTCTGGTGGATAGCAGCACTGACAATACATCGGTGGGTCACCGCAAGTCATTGTAAAGGCCACACATCCATTCAATCACAGCTAAGGATAGCTGATGAAGTCTAGTTCCTGGTGCATCCCTTAGCGATTGACCAGCGCTCAAACTTTATTATTTTATTCGTTTATTATTAGTGGAAATCAATACATTTCGAAAATCACTGTCAGTTACATGTATCATTTGTACAAAGAGATGCAGTGTGAAGTTATAGATTTTGAATGGAATGCTAGGTTTGTTTATTTGAGGTTATCATCATGTTGTAGTAGAGTATGTTTGGACGAATCTGGTAGCAATTTGCCGATCCCGGACTAATATAAAGCTTGATAGGCCCTGTACTCGGGATAGAGTCAATGACTATGTGTAAATTGCTGGTCACCTCCAACTTTTGCGCTACACAAGCCCTCCAGTACTTAAAATAAACAGTGGCCATTTTGGTAGTGGTAATTATGGTACAATGTGGCTGTTTGGTCGTCGAGTAATTGGTGAGCGTGCCCACTTAAGTGGCTGTTCCATGACAAAGTTGAGATCTTTAGGGTTCCTTGTGAGGAAATCTAGCTAACAGTTCGGTGTTCTTTCTGATTCTTTTCGATGTTTGTTTGAAATTCTCTGGGATCTAATTATTGACGTGTTATCTCTAGTGGTTATCACTCAGAGACATGTGCTTTACACATAGTGGTTTTTGGCAATACGTCAACGACAGCATCCCTAATGTAATCGTCAATGAAGGACAGAACTCTGGAATTTATTTTTCATTTGCTTAGAATCGGGCCTCTCGTGATTACGCTGCGTGCCGACTTACCAATTGTACATTATGGTTAGACGCGTTTGGTGCAGTGGTTAAAAATGCTTGAGTGCAATACACATTTGATTAGTTGTTGGTTCGTTCTCCCGACCAGTCTCACAAAGGTTTCCATCGCTCCGGAGTCGGAAAATCGCTGACAGATTTCATCTAGGTGATAAAAATCGTGACTTCATATATCGGTGGTTCCTGCAAATCATTTATAGTGCAAATATTAATTCAACCACTTCTATTATGCTTGATGAAGACGAAGGCATGACACATTCATCAAGACGTTGATCAATCCAAACAATGCACTTTTGCACTTTAGAGCACTAAGGACCTTGAATTCGAAAATATTGTTAGACAACGGTCCGTTCTTCTTTAGTGCATTCATGATACTCCTGTTTTTTGGTTTTTATATGTGGAACTAACTATTCCTTATTCTGAGAAAGGTTTATGCGTCAGGAGCTTTCAGAGGCATTCGTTCCATTGAGCGTGAAACGGGTATCAACAACATGTGTTAACATTTGATGTTTTGAGGACAATTTCCAACTGTCGACTTTTACTTCCATGTTATCCCATTCAGCGTTCTCACAAACGTCTTTATGGATAGAGCTTATCAGTTTCGACGTGATAATATCGCCTTCTTTCATTCCCTTTCCCATTTTATTGGCAGTAATGATGCAGGTTGGCGGTTTTTCATAACGTTTTAATTGTCTTGGGTTTTTGTAGTATCTCCGTACCAATTTGTGTGATCTCGGCAGAATCTATAACTTGGTGAATTTTACAAACAGCGGTTGGTTTTATGGCGTTTTTATGGGCCCTTCTGTTTTATCCACCTGTCTTCTCTTTTTAATTAAGTCCTTTCCTATAGAGTATTTAAACTGCGGAAAACTCAGGAGTACGGTCTGTTGCCTCCTGAATGTTGTTTGCTGCACATTGTCGTGTTAACTTAGGAGTTTCTGGAGAGAGATTTAGCTGGGTGAAATTCAACCTGTTACTTTTGCCAACGTTATTGTAGCGTTCAATGAGCCAACTAAATTTCCCATCGATTTTGTAACAGCAGTATCTCTTAAAATCCAGTCGAAAAGTTAAAGACATCTCAATTTGCACTCTCATTGGGATTTCGCTTCCGTTCTTTGTGGCTCGCTATTTTTCCTTTTTCACGAAAACAATGTTCGAATTCCGCTTAGAATTGTGGGACAAAAGCGACATACGAGGGGAGAAACCTGTTTAATATGTGATTAATCTAATCACGACACACTTTTTCGGAGTTGCCCCATTTTTAAATTTGGGCTAGAGCTTCTGGGGTAGTGAATCACTTTGGATGGTCTTGACGTACATCTTAATCTGGTCTTTCTCCTTTGTTATTAGAAAAAATACCTCGGTTTCATCTTCATCCTAATTTTATGTAGATAGTGAAGCTGTCGAAACCAGTTTTGCTTCGCTGGAATATAGATCAATTCCAGTCGTCAGTTGTCCGGAGAAATCAATATTCGTAGATGAACTCGATCCCGTGAGTAGAAGAAATTCGCTAAGTCCCCTACCATCAAATTTACGTGGGTGCAGTTATTTATTTACTAACGCTGCTTAACGAACTGTGCTTTCAGTAGGTTAGTACAGTGATGCTATAATTGGTCGACTTAGCTTGTCATCAAATTGTGAATACAACTTTCCCATGCTAGTGTGTTTGAGTTGCGAGCAGCTCTGGTGACTGTCATTTGTCAGAATTTCATTTTCTCTCTCATAGCGTTGAACTAGTGACATTTTTCCCTACTCTTTATTTCCACGATATTCGTAGCAAGACTGTCCATGGAAATCCTTTAGTAAATGCGGGCTTTTGTCTTGGGACCTATTGCATAGCATTGAAAGTAACTTACTCGAAATCTTTGCATGATGGAGGGCCTTGGAGTAGTTGCTATAATTAATGAGGTCATGGCAGGATAACAATAATGATAATGATAATAAGAATAATAATACTTACTTACTTGATACTTGAACGGCGCGTCATTACTAGTTGTGCGGGCCCCAGCATAATCACCACTTTTCGGAGATTTTCTGGTTAAGCCATTATGGTTCCCTGGAATCCCGACGACAGCCTGTCCAAAGTCTGCCTCAAGTCGCCACAACCACAGGCAGTCGTAGCCCTTGTGGATCAGAGGGAGATTTACCATCATGCTACTTTGATTCTAAGACGGGGGTGGATCCTGGTATTGGTTTAATCTTATCTAAGCTTCCTGATGGAAACGTCGGACTCCTCTTCTTGGGAGACCTTGCCAGGGGACGAATCCCCTCGCTGCACATCGCAGTCCGACACCCAGAAACATCTCCCCGCCAGGATGAGGCGGTAAATCGTTGGGAGGAATAATAATAATAATAATAATAGTAGTGCCCTTGGCATTGATCAATACTTGAGGGATGCGCCATGCATTTGACTTCGTTAAGCAGCGGTCGGAGGTGATTGAATGCATATCTGGTCTTTATAATGACTGGCAGTGGCCTACCGATGCATCGAGCTAATGCTGCTGTTCTCCCAGATAAATCTGGTACCAATTTGCTGATCCCGGAGGGATGGAAGGCTTGGTGGGCCATAGGCTCGGGATCGATTCCACCTGTGTGGTGCAGGGCGCCTCCGACCACCGCACCACATGCGCTCTATACGACGTAGTGTACATAAATCGTTTTTGTTTCCTTTTACTACATAAAATACAACCATGAAAAACTATGAAGAATTAATAACTAACGTGAACATTTTATCAACTATTCCTTGAGTGTTTCTAGGTAAATAATGGTTCATCAGCTCGACTGATTCAACGACGTGTTCAAGACGACGATGATAAGGATAGTGGCGAGGAAGAGGAGGTAAAAGATAACACAGTATAATTCTGGATTCGTATCTTGCTCCAAGGTCTTGCTTTTTGCTTCGGTAGAAAAGAAAAAGGATTAATACCGAATATTTCATACCGACATTCCTTTAACCTCGGTGTGACTAGTCAGCATGTATTTTTCTTTGATAAGTTTACACGAGGTTGATAAATAATCTTTATTCGGCTAACATTTAAACGATTAGCGGATAGTCCGAATATTTCATTATTATACGGTAAAGATGGTGTCTTGACTTGGATACTCGAAATACTACTTATACTGACTGGAAAACTAGCTGAGAGATAGGCGAGACGAGTGACCCGCATGGTGTGGTGAACGCGTTGGCCCCCGGAAAGAGTAATAGCGCGTCCGTTCGCCACCGCAGACACCTACTCTCCGGAGTTTTGCAGATATCTCAGAATCGTTGCATTTGTATTGATTGGTAACCTTAAAATCGCTCTCATCCGTTTCTTGAGAGCTTCTTAGTACTTTCGTTATTGAACCGAAGCTAAAAGTGAACGATGTGTTGACATTTGTTATGACATTTAGATGGAAGACCATCGAGAAAGTGGGGGCTCAGGGCGGAATTTAATTAGTGATGGTACAAATAGTTTTTAAATCTTGCTTTATGTATAAATTTGTTTGAAACCAAGGTTTTCAGATAAATGGAAAACAAAGTTTAAATTTTCAGTTTTTTGCTCAAGCGTGATTGCTGAAAACGTTAGGAATACATTGTGGGTGGTCATTGAATCTTGTAATGCCAAATCCCACCTGCTAAATCGCTTCGATTTGCGAGAGCCATGGGTAAAAAATGGAAAAATTATGTTCTTTGGTTTTCAAGAAAAAAATCGGGTTTTTATCGCGGTAGAATCAGAACCGTTGTATCTTGTTGGCAAAAAACTGTAGATTCTAATGGTTCTTACCCAAATAAATAAAGTGTAATATGGGTTGAGATATGACCCATTATTTTCTTGATGAGAAAACACGAACTTGTTACTACAGCATTTATTAGTTCACAATAGCTGGTGTTTTTGCGGTCTCACCTTTTTTAGAGTCCTGAAAGATTGAATTGAAGCGCAGTTTACTCAGCCAAACACTTTCAAAACCTCTGCAGATAAAACTTAATACGTAGATTTTTCTTTTTTGTTATGAACATTTTTTTAAATACTAACCGTTTTGATCGTTGTAATTCTTCCATTTGTTTGATGGAGACCAGCCGCACTGAGTACTATATGGGACAGAAAAGTCCTTGGCTCAGGTCAAGGAATCGCGCTGGGGTATTGCGCGAGGTCACGTATAATTACAAAACGCTTCTCATTGCTGTCCATTTTCGGACTTTTGGACTTTATTGGAAATAGTTCAAGAGTTTTTCGAGTAGTTGTTTGGGATTCCTGTACAAGGATAGTGACTTTTGCTTCAAAATCTTACATGTTATGTTCCTCCGTTCTGTACACGCCTAGTGGAGTATTTGCTTTAACTTTAAATCTACCGACTAAGTATTCTTTTATACGGACACTCGGCGGTCTACCTGTTTCGGCAAAGACGGGTTGATGCGGCACTGCAGAGCCTAGAGAACTACTCGCTTAATATAGTGTTTTAGGACAAGTCGATATACACCAGGGAATTAATTCCACCGGCAGAGCCACCCGAACTGAGGAGTCCGGCATTTTCATCAGAAACTCTAGCTAATAGTAAACGAATACCAGGATCCACCACCGTACCGGTATGAAACTAGTCACAAGGTAGCAAATTCCCTCTGATCCACAAAAGCCGGCGACTGCTTGTGGTGGCGATGACCTGGGACCGACTTTTGCTATGCTGATGTGGTGACTCTAAGGAACCACTGTGACTGTACCAGCAAAACTCAGAAAAAATGGAAGCTATGCTGGGGCCCGCACAATCAGTGAGGACGGGCTATCCAAATGTCTAACTAAGTAAGTAAAAATGTGGTAAGGTAATAAAGGTAGATAGTGACTATTAAGAGGAGAACGAAGTACAATAAGTGCAATTCTCGTGTAAATGATCACTGGTCCTATACCTCCTGCTGGGCAAATTTACACCTTCATTTCAAGTCTCGTCTACGTATTAGCGGAATCTCGCAGTTGAACTTGATTAATTGAAGTAAAAACCATTGCAATCTGCAAATTTTTCTCAAGCAAACGCGACTGTTTTTTTTTCTTTTACTTTATTTTTTAGTGGTGACGACGTTAAAATTTCTGGAGGCCACATGGTGCTTTTTGTTTGCTCTTTTAGCGTTTTTAACATCAAGGTAATTGAACAGTACTTCATAGACGGAACGCACTGATATATTGCAGTTTGGTGTTTGTCTTTGCGAAGCTTATGTTGAGAGTTAAAAATACATCTTTCGTTTTGAATTTTTTTTGTAAATTTAAACCTTAAAGGTGAAAAGAGAGCGACATGTTTAAAAGTCATATCCATAAGACGATAAGGGAAAGTCTCTTCTATCCACTATCCATACTAGAAGTCTACAAAGATTGTAATTATCGGAAAACTATCGCTAGTTTTCGAGAAATCAATTTCATCGTATGTGAAAAGGGTTTTTCACAACTGTTCTGTTCCAGGCAAAGTTATATCCACAAGATGTGCCTTCAATACGCGCGAGTCTCTCAGATCGCTTCGACGGTCCTCGTTCAAGAGATAGTGTATGTCAGAGTCGTGATATGACTCCGTCTTCTGCGTCGTCATGCTCGTCAATTTCCTCACGTGGTGGCGCTTTTCATTCTGATAGGACGTTACCAGCTAGGGTGAGTATGTATGTGTAAATTGTCAGGGTTGAGCTGAACCTCTTTTTTTTTTCTATTCTCGTTTGCATTCTTTGTGATCATGTAGTTGATCAGTGCAACAAGCAAATCTTGCGTATCTCAAATTACACACATAGGTTAGTTGCGCGTCTCTTTAGCAGCACCTTAGCTTTTTTTTCGGTTTTGTAAGTGAAAAGGTGCAAAACGTTTGCCTAACATTTTCATACTTTGTAGGTTGTGTTGTTATTTTGCCACTCTCGGTTCATAATGCCAAAAAAATCTCAGGATCTACCACCCTTGCCCGATGTGGTGTCTGGTGATGCTTTGCTTCACGACAATAACGGAGTCATTGAAGACGATTGTGGAACGTTAGTAGGTAAATTGTTTGATTGATTTAAATTTAAGTTTGTAATTCGCAGTAAAAATGGCTGAAGTATTGTGAGAGCCTTTGAGAGAATGGCGAAACGAAGGACTCGTTTGGTGTGATGGTGAACACGTTAACCTCTGCAAAAGGTGGTAATGCGTTCGATCTTCACCGCAGACACCAGCGGTCCAGAGTTTTGCAAATATCTCAGCATCATTATGGTTATGTTGTGACAACTTTGGACAAAACTGCGTATTGTGTTTATAGCACCTTATGCACCACCTCGAACTCTCCGCGCCGCTCAGGGTTCAGTGCAAAAGCGTTCGTCATCACTAGAACAAAGTGGTACAGTACGACTACGTTCTATTCCCGATTGTGAAATTGAGCGACCAAAAACATATTTTGGATTGCCGGTCACTCCTAAGGTCACAATGTTGTTACAATTGTTTGTCACCATATAGTTGTTACATTATGTTGTTTCTTGCTTAATTAAGGACTTTTCAGGTCGTAATGGGAGCGTGTTTCACTAAGATGGTACATGAATGCACCTTACGAATTAACTGTGCCGCTTCATGGATACACCGTGGAACAGGCGCCCAGCTCATTCTTCTGGGTTGTGAAGAGGGTATCTATGCTGTCGACACTAATAAGCTGCACGATGGGGAGTTGACTAAGGTCTGCATTTTCTATTGTTTTACTGGTTGTAGCTGTTTGCAGAACAAAATTGCTGCTGCGAAAGATGCGTAGTAGCGTTCTAATGATATTTTCAAGTACTTAACAAGGCGCGTGTGGCGTGGTGGCCGGAGCCGCCCTACAATACACATGGGATCAATTCCCGCCCTTACCCCACCAAGCCTTCCATTCCTATGGGGTCAGAAAATTGGTACCACACTTTTCTGGGATGATAGCAGCACTGACCCGATACATCGGTAGGCCACCGCGAGTCATTGTAAAAACCAGGTATGCATTCAATCACCTCCAAACGATGCTTAATGAATGAATGCATGACATCGCTCATGAATTTATCAACGTCGAGAGGTTTTTTAGAGCTTTACTTAACATAGTCAACAGTCAGTCGATTTTTTTGTCGGATGGAATTATTGAAACAAGCAAATGTAAAAATAATCGTTTTTGTTTGTGCCTAACATAAATTTATGTTTTATTCCGAAGTTTTTTCGTCAACTTGCACGTTAGTCATTATGTTGTGTACTACGAAATCTTGTTTATTCGTGTTAATTCATTTTGAAGATACATCATCGGCGATGCTCCTGGCTTCATGTACATCAAGACGTTTTAATGGCCCTACAAGGCAGGACATCCTACTTGTATCGGTTAGTGCCCAAGAGTTTGTTTACGTGACTGTATTGTATGTTGGGTGATAGTTAACATGGGACGAAGTGAGTTGACCTCAGCTCGCTCGTTTGTGAAAGAGGTAGTTGGGATACACTGACTGGTATAATCCGATTTCCACCAATCTTTGTAGTGGATTGTAATATCGTTTTTTTTTTACCATGCTTTCTATTCTGCGTGTGGCCCAGTGGTAGTGATGTCGTTTGGTATGTACGAGGCGCTGGCTGGAGCCCGTACTGAGTTAAGCGCCATCTCTTCTGAGTCGCGAGATTGATACTAGATCTATCTAAATTGTTAGAATTCGAGCTCTGCAATCCGGAAGAACTGGCGACTGGCTACAGTGAAGGTCTGGAAACGCTTTAACACGATTATCAGGAAATCTCAGGGTGAATCGATTTTATCAGTATTTAGCGACACTTAAAAAGAATGCAAGAAATCACTCAACAGCATCCAAATCCACGCTCACAAGTTCGAAGATTTCCGTGGAACTATGGGGGAACAAATCGAATGCATGAGGTGCTGAGATCCACATAATATGCGAG